GGAGCTTTAATGTTATATTTTTGAAAGATGTCAACAAAACCACATATCTCAATATGCTGGAAATAGTATACAGACTTTCAATGATCAGTATTACTGTTAACTCAAGACAACGCCATCAAAAAACAGAACATTCTTATCTGCAATGCTATATGCTTCCCGGTAGCTGAAAATCAGAACTTACGGGCGCAATAAATAGTATCGCTTCACCTCTAAGCGTACGAAAAGACTACGTATTCTGTCGCCTGAATTTTAGGAAACTTTTTTAAGCTACAATAGGGGCAATTGGATAGAGAAAAGGTTTGAAATATGCAGACACAGTTATTCACGTTTTTACGGATGATTCTAAGATAAACGAAGGAGTGGAGGAGGAGGAGTCCCAACTAGAGATAAGGAAGTCATATAAGCTAATAAACCAATGCAGCCTCTTTCAAGCCGTAATATTGGCTATAAAAATGGCAGAGCTACTACTACACTTTTATGTCCTTCAAAGGAAAATAATACAAACGTATGTATGTAGCCAAGCCGCTATAAAAGCCTTAATTTCATATAGCACGAAGTCAATTGTGGTCGCAGAACGAGCAATTGCTTCGTAGTTGTTATTGTGGATTCCAATGGTAATGTTGCTCGCTTTCCCACCAATTACGAGATGGGGCATTCAACTGCAGAAGCCAAAATATTGCTCTTTTCTTGAGTCATCGTCCGTAGCCTCGGGTTTTCGCTTTTCTACATCTGGAGCACTTCCCGGCACTGATCTCTTTTCCTATTTTACAACTGCAACTTTTCTCCTTGATCAATCTGAGCATTTTCAGTATCCCGTTGGTTACATCTTGACCATCCATCTCATCCGTTTCAAGGGTCTGAGCACACGCGACAGCTTCAGTATTGTTGACATTAGTTTCAGACGTATGCTTGGTGTATATGTATGCCCTTTACTTCGATGATGAATTACCAATTAAGCTAATCTCTAAATTTCGATAGGAAATTCCAACGGAGACTCATTAGGGTTTGCAGGTGATTCTTCTTAAGTACTGAGATTCGGAAGGTCGGGGTCCGAGTTCCGGTCCGACCAACGTCTAAAAATTATTAAAAAATGTATTTTAATAAAAAATTAAGTTAAATTTTGTAATTGCGGTCGCCCCACGGCAGGAAATGACAATCCCTCCGTGCATACCTATGATATGAAATAAAAGCTCTTCATAAAAAATCAGCAGCCGTTCAGAGGCGACTTAGTATGAACTGAAGGTCCCTCTATTTGTTGGAAAAACATCAAGTTGAAAAACCACAAATTGAAGGAGGAGCTGGACTCCTTACAAAGCGCCAATATATATATGTATAATTATCTATCTCAATTTTGCGAATAGTTTGCAAAATTTCTGCTGCAGATACCTTCAACGCAACGAATAGAACTGCGGAATTTTCTTCAATACTTCGGCTATTTGTTGTAGTCGTCTTTTCGAATCAGAGTTCAAAGACCTGGAAAAGTGCTGTAACCTCAAAGGGTGTTGTTTTTACCCTGAAATATTTCAGCAAAGCGCTTATAGGAAAAAATTCCAGGTCTCGGATATGACCTTCTATTTCGTTGCTTTTGGTCTCAATTATTTTTTCATGTTTTTACAAAAGTATTTATCATATTTAAATTTCCGCATACATTTTATTTGTATTGGAATATACATATGTATGTATGTTTGTACTACCTTGATCAAAAAGTTCCCGGAATTTTTTTGAAAAATGAAAAATACAAGATTACACATTACACCGATCAATACTGTGCCCTTCAAAGTACTCCCCATCGACGGCAATGTACTTATATCAGCGCTTTATCCAATCTTCAAAAAATTTCTCTTATTCCGACCGCGGTATGGCTGAGAGAGTCATATTTGTTATTGTCATGATCTCATCTCGAGTGCTGCAACGCGATCCACAAAGCAGTTTATTGAGTGGACTGAGTAGGAAAAAGTCGCAGAGCGCCAGATCAGATGAATTTGGTGGTTGTTAGATGGTATTCGTTTCGTTCTTAGCCAACTGTTCACGGATAAGGATGGCACAATCGGCGCGTTATCCGGTCTTTTCTGGCGCACTGTTTCACGCAAGCGGCTGGGAACGCCTAAATACTACCTTTGTTAATCCTTGGTCATTAATTTTTTAATTTTATAATGTTTTCGTCAGTTTTAGATGTCGATGGTCTGCCAATGCGTTCATGCCACTTGTAAACCACAGATTTCTTTAGATTATCGTCGTCTCTCTCTCTCTCTTTTGTAACATTTTCAATGTCTTTGCACTGTTGAAACCGCAAAATTTAATTCCATTTTTTAAATTATTTAAAATAGAGACCCTCACAATTCGAATGTATTCAAGACAACGCCATTTTTACAAATGCCAAGCTGAAAATTATTCCGAGTACTTTTTAATCAAGGTAATATGTGATCAAAATTACGCACGTTCTCTATGTACCATCAGAGCTCAGAAACGAAAAGAAACTGGCTCAATTTTAATTGTTTTTTCGTATGAAAATCTCATGGCCATCGTTAAAACACGAGAAATCACCGGCTAACAACAGGATAGTAGCGAGACGCAAGTTGTTCTTATAAAGTGTGATTTCTTAAGAGCTATAAGAAAGTTGTTCAAAAGAAACACAAAAAATTTATAAAAGTGCATGAAATCTGACCGTGAGTGCACCTCAAATGGTCAAACCGCTTAGTCCAATTTTGGCATACTTTTTGCAACATTTCAGCCGGTATCTCGCTAACAAATGCTTCAATGTTGTCCTCCAATGCGTCAACGTTAGATTTAACATAGCCGCATAAAAAATAGCTAGGCTAATTGACCGCTCCCGAACGTGAAACAAAATGTTTACCGAACTCGCCTCTCAATAAGTCCATTGTTACGCGTGATGTGTGGCATGTGGTACCGTCTCGTAGAAACCACATGTCATGAAACTCAAGCTCTTGCATTTTGGGCAAAATAATTTGATGTTATACAACGGTAGTGAATGGTGAATTCACAGATACTTTACGATTCGCTTCATCTTTGAAGAAGTACAGTCCAATGATGCCACCAGCCCATAAACCGAACCAAATCGTGACTTTTTCATTGGATGCATTGGTAACTCTTGCAATGCTTCTGGCTAATCTTCACTCCAAAATCGACAATACTGTTTATTTACGCTCCCTTTAAGCCAGAAATGAGCTTCGAAGCGCTCGCAGAAGAAGCGCGCGATGAACCCTCTTAACGAAGCACGCATTCTGATAATAAAATTCAATAATTTGCAAGCGTTCGTTCGTTTGTAAGACATTTCATGGTTAAATTATAGACCAAATTGAAGATGTTTGACAGTGACACAAAATACGAGAAGTGTGTCAGCTGTTCAAACTAGAGTTGCCAAAAAGATAATAGCTAAAAAGTCACCCTTTAGTTGACTACAGAGGACTACCTATTAGAATACTTCTATGGACCATATGGCCCAAAAAATTGTAGAGGTTTTTTCTACTTGATATACCAGGTTTTATATTTCAGTATAGTCATGTGTAAGGTTATTGGGCACCTCTTATGCTCCACCATTAATTGTTAATATAAAATATATTAAATTTATGATTTAACTTTGCTTATTTACTCACACTTGAACAAATTACTTACTCACACTTGAACAAATTATGGGTGTATTTCCCTTTCTAGTTTCCCTGCTTTGTAATGTTTGTATGTATTATTTATATATGTAGTACATTTTTGCAGGAAATTTCTGCATCATTTGACTTCGTATAATCTCACTTGTGTGCATAAGAAACTTTCCGCAGGTACTTCGACTTACTTTGAAAGCTGTTCGCCATAAGAATAAATCGCATTAAATGCAGAGGCACGAAATGATGGGTTGGCGGAAATAATAACTACAAAAATGGTGGTAGGGTTTCTATTACTATTGGTTGTGTTCAGTGATATAGAAATTTCAATTTCATTCAAAGTATTTGTGTAACGTAATTTTTGTAGCGAAAAGTTATAAAAAAAATGTTTTTGATTGACCATTTTCAAATACATCAACAAATAAAACTTACCCTAGTAAGCTTTACATTACAGGTGGTATTTTTGGTTGAAAGCCAAATATAAAACATACATACATAGGTATATCGATGCGCCTAACGGTAAATGTACCTCTTAATGTCGAAAATATTTCCAAAGTTCTTAGAAAAAAAAAAGAGTTGGCAACCATGGGAAAATGGTCATTTAACCATAGCTGAAAAAGTGAGTTGCATGGCCAAGGCATACGAGATGTGTTCACAAAATAAGGATAATTCTCATGTTTGAGTGTCCTTGAATATCTTTTGTGATTTACAGGCCTATTCTGTCGAGGTAACAAAATTTACCTAGGTATTAAAATTTACGATTCAGTAAATTTTGTAAGCATTTCGTTCTTGAGCTCACTGTCACCCTGTAAATTTTGTTACCAGCGAAATAGGAGGTAACAAAAATATCTGCTGTTTGATTTTGTATTGTAAGTTTGAGAAAAAATAAAAAACCAAAATGGGTAGCCATATTTTAGGCCGTGAATTTATTGAAGATGAAGAAAAAAGTGCAAAATACCGTATTTTAAGAAATTTTTGAGACTACAAACTAGCCCTTTAATTTGTAAGATGACGTCTTCATTCAGCTTTTTTTGTTGTCCAGGCATATTTTCCATAATTAGGTTCAAACATTTATGATTTAATAAACAAATTAATAAAACTTTTTAATTTTTTTGTGCGCCGTCTTGCATTTCGATGTGAATATTTTTTTTTTTATTTATATTTTTAATTTGACATGATCGAAAAAACAGTGCTGCCAAATTTTTTTCAAACATTGTAACTAGTTCGCCAGAATACCAAATTCTATTTCGGGTGTTAAAGAAAAGTAACAAAATTTACTTTAGCAGTGAGAATTCCTCTAACAGGGAATTGGAAATGATTGCGCAGATCTTTTGACCAAAATATTATTATTGAGCGAGTCCTTCATTGTATTAAATTTTTTTTTTCTCAAGAGCAGAAAATCGCCGAATGTGCTATACTTTTATAAAATTAAGAAAAATAATGAACTTATCCCAAATTATTGTAAATCAGTCTAATTTTTGAACCCACCTTGTGCATTAGAAGCTGCTCTTCAAATTCACGACGGTGTTGTTTGCAAGTCGTTTTCGTTCTTCATGGAAATCGCTACTTTTTATTTCAATTATTGCTGGAACATTAAACGAATTCGTATCGGTTTTGCATTTGATTGCAAAACAATTGGTAAGAACTGAACCGTAGATTATCAGTGATAAAACGCAGCTAGTCCTGGCTAATATTTCCTAGTAAATATGTATCCTAAGTTGTCTCATAAAAGCCTTAAAAATTTCACTCACGATCTAAAGAATTTTGGACATTTACAGTCAACAAAAATTATACAATGAAATTTTTTACAAGTAAATAATCTTTTTTTTTATAATATCTATTGTTATTTTGAAACGAGTAGCAATTTAATAAGCGTGATACAAAAAAAGAAAAGCAAGGTGGTTTCACTTGACACCTAACGTGTTTGCTCAGAATTATTTGATCTTGCCACTTATAATATATTTAACATAGATTTTTTTTAATACTTCTGGGTACATCTCCTAAGCATATGGATGTATTAAAATACTTCTTTCAAGCCATCCTTCTTACTGACATATCTAAATTAAATTAGAGCGTTAGGCGTAGCGTGTCCTAACCCCAATGAGTGGCAACGCGCGCTATCCCAAAATAACAGCGCTAACGTTTTGGCGTTTTCTCTTTCTCTTCGATTTCGTATTAATTTAAAAACATTTAATAAATTAATTTTCTCAGCCATTTTCTTTACAAAATACTTTTTCTGTGTCAAGTTTTTTTCCCAATTGCCTATTCCAGACGATTTTTTTTCTTTTCTTTCGCACTTTTATCCTTCACATCTAACTTCATCATATAACGCGCTTTCAAAATCGAAAATTCCATTCGCTCAACGTTGACGTCGCGTTATTGTCGCATGTCCCATACAAATTATATTGCCATACGGATTTTTGACAGTTGTTTAGCGCTCAATGCTCCAATTTAGGGATGGCGGTTAGGCGGAAAAAAAATTTCTAGACGCTTTTTATTATAAATGAATTAGAAAGAGTTGACATTTTTTTCTTTTTTTCAAAAACTTGTATTCTTAGATTTTTAACTGTATATGAAACGTCCGATGTTTGGATTCCTAGTCTAAAAAAACAGTTATGGCCCCGGTATACTTTGCACATGATATGGGCATACCTATTTTTCACCAAAGTAGCTGTTACGTTTAACTTTCACCAGAACCTTCAACAGCAGATGACGGTGTGACACCATGCACGATCTGGTCATTAATCGAAGTGAGCAGAAAAAATTTTTTACTTCTTCTAAAGAGTACTTCCATAAGCATAACAACAAGCAAATTTACCAGACACTGTATTTTTGGGAACTATTATAGAAGGATGGGCTGCTTCTCAAAAACATAGATGAGAAGGAATCGGTACAAAACCACCCATCATAAAATATACCAAGTGATTTGTGCATTTGAAAAAGTGACGGGTAGCTCCGCCACAGGACTAACAGAGGTATCACAACGGGATAGCACGGCTAATTGCGCTTGATCAGTATTACTTGATCGAGCAACCTGCTTAACCAACCGATTGAGAATCTTTCCAAATTTCGGTATAATTATTGGTTAGATTAAATTTAAATATTTTTGGGAAAAGTAGTTGACAGTGATTTTAATATCCTGTCAGCTTACAAAATTTAGATCTATATTCACATAAAGTCCACTGAGCACCTAATTTTCTTGAGATCGATTTGAATTGGTAAGTCTATTCTCTTTCTGATACTTTCTTACAACTTACTAAAGTTAAAAAAACCATCAAGAAATTCATTTACCGATGAAGTCCATTGTTAGTGATTTGAACAACAATATAATACGTAATTGTTTACGTTTAAAAATTGAAACAATATTAAAACACTAAATAATTTTTATTTAATCAGATCAGAAAGCTATGAAGCCAACTGTAAAGAGGGAATGAAACTACCTTTAAATTATTGAATTCTGGTTTCACCCAATATAAAAATGACAGAAAACCCTTTTTGACATTATTTCTTATTTTCATTTTAAGTTCAATATGTTGCCACTTTTATATATTCTCTTAATAAAAAAAATGTTAACTCACCTGAAAATAATGCTATTTCCATTAGATTTCAGAATATAAGGCAAAACCTTTGAGCTTCTTTTGTTTTATTATTCTTAACTTTTTTGTTTACATTGAAAAGTTTTGCATTTTTTGTTGTATATTTTTTCAACATAAGAAAATTGAAATTTTATTAAAAAATGAAATTAATAGCACAAAAATAAAGCAAAAGTCTTTTTATGTCAGAGAGTAAATATTTTCGAAAAAAATTTTTAAGTGAAACTACATTTTTATTTTGTACCATGGCAAGGCGAATTTATAGAAGGTTAAGTTGTCACATCATTTGATTGTTTGTTCTTCCTTCCATTTCATCAAATTACACAAACAAAATACATAAGAAATAGGTTTTGACACTTTTTATTACACCAGCAAAATACATTGAAGCAATTTCGTTTTTGACTTTTCGAAACTACAATTACGCAAACAAAATATATAAGCTTGTTGCTTTTGTATTCTTGCTACTGCCGTATATAAATTTAATAAAATATAAAATAAGTTTACTTTTTTTACTTAAAAGAGTGAAATTATCTTTTTATGTCTATTTAAAGACCGAAAAAATTACTTATAAAGTTTTTTATTCAGAATTTTTACTTTTGGTAGTATAGTGTTAGTATTTATAAGACATAGAAATAAAATATAATTGAAAATTGGTTGATTATGTTAAGCTTGATAAAAAATTCTTTAAAAAATTATGTACATATATTTAAAAATAGACTTTTTATATTTAATGTCATACTTATTTTACGTATTACGAAAATTCTTCAACGAATCGGTTTTGTAGCGTTTCGCGTTAACCCTTCGTCATCGTTACAATTCAACTCGTCTCGTTCGCGCGCGTATTTACTTTTCAAAAGAGTAGTGTCGTATTTCAGGGTCGCTTTGAAAATGCATGAATGTATTTATTAGGCGTGACACTTTTTATTATTTTATCAATAAATGCCCACTATTGTTTAACCCCTAAAGCAAAAGTGCCGTCAGTTATCTATTATATTTTTTAAAATTAAAATTTTTTATCCATTCCAAATTTTTCTGCTAAATACCGAAAAGTGCCTTCATAGAGAACTTCTGGGGCTCCAAGATAGTTTTTTTTTTTTGAGCAGTGCTTTCAAAACTGCTTGCCATTACTATATTGATGTTTATAAACACTCGAAATTCGATACAAGTTGTCGGACTAGACTAGATGATCGACTGTTGAATTTCTTTGTCGGTCCCGTCGGGTCAGAAAATTTTAAGTATATCAAGTGATGCTAGAAACGACGACTGTAGTATAATACGAAGGGATTAATAAAAGTGCGGTCAGTTGGTGACCTTCAATTGTTTTTCGTTAAATCTAAAGTTAACAAATCCTTTGCAATTATTTGATTAGCATTCCTTTCAAATTTTAAAACGATCGGCTAAAATGGAGACGAAAAAAGCAAAATAGCTGAGGATAAGCCAGACGAAATTCCACCATCAACGCATACAGAAATCCGCCATGTGATTCCCTTCGGGTTTCGACGTAATTTACAGAAATTAAAAGCCATGATGGTTTTCTGAAGTGGATCTATAGGCTTACGAAATATGTACATTAAAATCAATGGCGATCATGTTGAGAAGATAAAAAAGAGCAAAGATTATGAATAAATGCAAAAAGATTTTTTTCTGATCAACTTGGTGAACTTTGGTTAATCACCACTGCATTTGAGGATGTTGATACTGTATCTTTTGTAGAATGGAATACCGAAGTTGTACATAGTACAGGCATTTGAGCCGACCGAGAGAAGCCACAGCGTGCATATATTCTGATGGCTTCATTAAAAATGTTAAACAATCGAAAAGTTTATAGATATTCATATAGGTACTGAATCGACATTAAGGAAACCGAGTAAGATTAATTGACGACAGTAACAAAATAACTTTTAGAGGCTCTTATTCCACACTGAAATTATATAATACATATGCTCGTCAAGGAAACCAATCGTTCAGCCTTTACTTATAATAATAATATTAAGTTCCTAATTTGCAATAATGTTATCCACCATTACATCGGAATTTTGGTGTACATTATAACCGGAAAGTTTCCGAAAATTTTCATTTAAACTACCTACACTTTTGTTGTTAATTACTTTGCCAAAACTGAACGCAATCTGTCAACCAGTTTGTTTGCAGCAGCTGTTGAAACCAGCGACCTTAGTTCCATTTACGAATTTTCTTTTACGGCTTCAATCAAGTCGAGACGGACTCCACGAAGAGGTAACTTGAGTTTGGAAACAAAAAAAGGCGCATGGGGCCAAATCGGGTGAATATGGTGGTCGATCGCTGGAATTGAATGAGAGTTCGTCTCGAAATCGTTCACAACTACAGCTCGGTGTCATGGCGCATTATAGTCATGCAAGTTTCCGGAATTTGTTAGCCCACAATTCCTGCCATTTACGAACGTTTTCGCGCAAACGCCTGAAAACGCTCAAATAATAATACTCTTTATTGACAGTCTGTCCCGTTGGAATGAATTCATGATGAATCAAACCGCGAATATCGAAAAAAAACGATATCCGGAAACTTTCTGGTCTTAATTCAGCTTGTCGCTCCCCGTACCCGTACCTAAGATGCTGCAGTGAAAAAACGCGTGTGAATCTAGGCAAAACTCTATGTCCCGAGGTAAATTCGAGCAGCATTTTTCAGGGCTTACTAGGCTACGACTCACTATTCTTCTCGAGAAAATTAATCGAGCTCAATCAAAGGTCTGATTACATCCCAAATCAAGCACGTCTCTCTGTCGACGAACGAGTGTAAAACACAAAAAGAAGAGATGAATATATAAAAGAAGAGCCCGAGCTGTCGGTCCGGTGATATTTAAAAACAAACACTTACAAGGCAGTGCAATCAGCAGTCGATCTTTACAGAGTCGTGCTTTGGAGTCTCAGTTGTCTCAGAATGAGCAGTCAGTGCAGTCCCCAATCTCTTGTCAACAAAATAAGTTTGGACTCAAACTAGACGAAATATTCAAGCGTTTGAGATCGGACTTGTGGCTGGACCAGTTAAACGATTTTCCGAATTGGTCGTATAGAAATAGTAGAAAGAGATGGTGTAAGCATTGTAAAATCTCGAAGACGCAGTGCATTTGCCAACTGAGCTTATGTTGCATTGCAAAAAAAACATTTTTTCTGAATTCACTAGAAATTAAATAAAATTCTGTTGAAAATTTCAATTGGTAAATTAAAGTTTAAATATAAATCTGAGTGCGTATTTGAATTCAGGAGCTGTAATTCACTTCAGAAAAAATTATTCTCTTTTATTCCTTTAGAAAATAGGCATAGAAGATTAAGTTTAAGAAACATATATTATAAATGGTTTATCGTTTTGGCAATGCAAAAACAGGTGTAGTTGAAATTTCAGTTTGAACGATTTTTAAATATACGAGATTTTCTCAAGAAATCATTAAAATTATGAATGCTACAGTGAAAAACTATTAATAAAAAATATGTTTTATTCTATAAATATCAGAAAATTTTAAGAAAATCTATCGCTTTTATCCTTTTCACTTCTCTCGCAGTAGAACATACGGATTCAATTCTCAAAGTTTTTTTTATTTTTTTTACATTTGTGAAGTGGTAATTTCTGCGAAAGTAGTCCACGCTCCTATTACTGATTTTCTTCGATTTGCTGTTCATATTCAATACACTCGTAATTCCTTGGTAGTAATCCCTATTTACAAAAAAAAAAAAAAAACTATTTTAAATCCATTGTTACTCGTTTTTATTCTTGTACTGTTGTGTGGACTTTATTTCAACATCAGTTTATTTGTGATCTCGTCAAAGTTTATTGGCACTTAACCAATTGATTGTTCACAAAATAGGCTTAAAAACTTTTTACTGCTGCCTTTTCTTTGCTTCACTTGGTGAACATGATGCACATTTAACTCTTATAAACTAGAGATTCAAAAAATTTGTATTCAGAGAGTAACGAAAAGCTAAATTAAGGCCGACGCAAAGTATGTTTGTATAAGCATATGGCCAGAGAATGGCAAATTATTTGCAGGAGTGTGATATTTGGTAGATAAATTCTGTAAATAAAAATGTTGCTTGGCATATGCGTTACACATTATTCGATCCGATGATCATATGGAAAGGTACTGAAATTCCAATTTCAATAAAAATACAATGTTTTAACTATTTTGGTATTTTATGTCGGATGTAACTTTCACATTTACCAACCGAGCGATTGCATCAGATATGTTTTGAAAATGTCAATTCAGTACAAGTTTTGTTCGGTCGTTTCATTCTGTTAACTCAATGTGAATATCAGAAAAAATATGGCAGCAAAAAGGCGACATCTGACAGATGATCTGATTTAACGATATCATTCCCTTTTGATAATAAGAAAAATTAACTCAACGATATGAAATCGTTTCGTTTCGTCGCCACATTATCAAAGCGAAATGAAAATGTAAACGTTAAAAACGCACAAAACTTTTCGTTACCTAATTTTTTAACAGAACCCCCTTGCTTTTGCAAACTGTTCTCTTTAAAATTCGTTTTCTGGTAATACAACATTTCCATGACATGCTAATTATGCTCTCTCAATCGTAATTTACACTCCAAATACATGCCGAAGTACTTAACTCTCAATACAAAATGTTTGAGTGAGAACTACGCTAATTTATATTCAATTACCGTGCGCATTTCCATCAAATCTTTGTTTAAATTAAATTTTATCGGACATTTATCGAAGACAGCTGACGAAACAAAACTTAAAAGGTAAAAAACCTAAA